CATTCCTGGCTGTCCAACAGCGCTCTGTCAGAATTTTTGTGCAGACCTGATTTTGAGGCCTGTAAGTCATAGATATTATAACAGCATATGTGGCAATTTTGCTTACAGTATTGCACCATGAGTCTAGGTGCATCTGGGTAGCTCTGACTTCGTTAGATGCGTGCTACATAGTATGTGTAGATTGCCAAGGAGACAACAGATGTGGTAAAGGAGGGAGACGTTTTTGTTGCATGGGGGTACAAACCCAATTTAGAGATGAGAATGGAAGCCCCTGGTGTCCCACACATCATCATGACATTATTTCAATTCTGAACAAATTTTAGCTTTTGCCTGAAATGTTCTAATTGAATTTACTTTTGGACAGAAGCATTTAAGGGAAATGTAGACAAAATACCTTTTTCAGTAACGCTAGTGCAAAGCTTCTGAAGGATGCTCTTCTGTAGTCTTCAAGGCAGGTACAAAATTCTTTGTGCCTGCTTTCTGGTATTGTTATTTATCTAGTTCAAGAGAGGTTTTTGTTTTGTTTTTTGAATGTTTCAGACCAACCTTCAAACACGTTTCCTCTTGTGTTTTCCAGCAAGCTGAACATGGACAAAAGGTTCAAAAGTGCACCCTTTATTAATAATTACAAGTGCGTGCCATACAGTGAATGTGTATTGTTTTCTGTCAAGGAAATCTTAGAAGCCTTGAAGTGGAGAGACCATGTAGATAAACAAGGAGGAAGGCAGTTGCCAGTAGGACATATATCTAAGGAATAAACAGCTTTGGGAGCTTGTCAACTTAAGGTCAAGATTTACAGAACGAGCACATTAATAATGGACCCGGTCAATAAGTGTTGAATTGAATGTCTTCAGCTCCTGTTCCCAAGTTGGGTGTACCTGCTGGGTAAATCTCACTGCTGGGAGTTCACACCTCTCCACCACCTGTAGAAGTAAATAAGCTGGTGCTTGCTCACTGACCGCTGCCAGCTGGGAAAAGCCCTTCCTTTACCCAGTATTCCTGCCAGTAAAGCATTCCCCCAGCAACCCCACACAGAGAAGACTTGATTCCAGAGTCTTGCTTCTCAAAAGCCTTCACGTCTTGCCAGATAATAAGCCTGTCACCTGTCCATGGCAAGAGCGAGCTCTCAGTTTCTTCTACTGAATGTTTTTTGTATTAAAATGGCTGCTGGCTTAGAGGTTGGAACAAAGATCACCCTATTCCCAAAACTGCGCTTGCTCTAGCATCCTCTTCCTCCTCTTTCTTGCCAAATCATTTGAAGTGGAATGACTGCAGCAGGAGGGATGAAGAACCTTTCTCAGCACTTAGGCACTTCCTCCAGGGAGGTTTGGATGCCTCTGAGCATGAGGAGATTTCTGAGGATTTAGCTAAATGCTTACAGTAGCAGCAAGGTAGTATTTAGGAATGTATCCTTTTATCCTTGCATCCTTTTATGGCTCTGGGCTTTAATTTCTTTTTGGAGTCTCAATTTCATAGAATCCTAGAATAGTTTGGGTTGGAAGAGACATCAAAGATCATCTAGTTCCAACCCCCCTGCCATGGCCAGGGACACCCTCCACTAGACCAGGTTGCCCAAAGCCCCATCCAACCTGGCCTTGAACACTTCCAGGGATGGGGCATCCACAGCTTCTCTGGGCAACCTGTTCCAGTGCCTCACCACCCTCACAGTGAAGAATTTCTTCCTAATATCTAATCTAAATCTAACCTCCTTCAGTTTTTTTCCAGTGCCTTTCATTATGCATCAGCCTTCTCTACTTAAAATGCTGAAATTGCCCCTGAAATCCTTGATTGAACAGTTTGAGTAGAAGCAGTTGGGCTTTTCCAGCTATGCAGGGAAGTTTGGGAGAAAATCTGGGATTGTGAATAATCCCATCCAATTAAAAAAAATCCTGCTAAAATGTGTTAGTTTTGCAATAATATTTTGTTGTTACTTTCAAGTTGTAATACCTTACTGAGGTGAGTTCTAAAACATAATGTGAAGTATATAAATGTCATTAACCTTACAAATGTAAGCAGTAAAGTTTCTTTAGCTGTCAGAGCTAGAATACTTTTAATGAAGGTGTAGGCAACAAGGCATATTTTTGGGACATACAGTCTGGATTAAGTCCCAAGGCTCTTCTAGTGATATTTAAGTCATTATGGGTGCATTGTTTTATAGGGATTTTCAGCCTTTTTTGATTAAACAATACATATGTCGTCTCTATTGTTCATATAGATCCCTATGTAGTGAGTAACAACCTCCTGAAAACAGGTTTGGCTTTGCCGATGCCTTGCAGGTAGCCTGAATTCCTCCTGGGCCTAAGGGCCACAGCCTGAAACCCAATGTATGCTGCAGAAAGGTGAAAAGAAATTACTTACCAGCCGCCAGCTTTCTCCTTCCCTCACAAATTCTTTGAGTCCAGGTACTAAAGTGATCTCCTTGTCTGATATTTCGTGTCATCGCTTTCTGGCACATCATAGCAGTGGAGGAAAAAGGGATTTCCAATACTATCTGTAATACTCGATAAGCAAATCTGTAGTACTTGAAGATAGGGCAGGAAACACAGCTTCTTTGAACAATTTAGTGTGTGCTTATTTGCATAATGCCATATTGCTTCATTATGTCTGCCTGTTCCTGCAAGACTGAGCTGGGAACTAATGTTCTGCTATCAGAGCAGTTCTCACTGTCTGGTAAAATTTGTCAGCAAAGAGCCTCATCACCATCTGATGCAAGAGAAAGTTTTGCTATGCCCTCATTGACCAATTTTTAGCATAGCCTAAAGCAAAATTGTTCCATTACGCAGATGCACACGAATGTCTGATAAAGAAAACAAGCCAAATGGTAATTTTCATGTGAAGCGACCTAAATTAATGTCCTGGTTCCAGCAGTTATTCAAACCTTTGCAGACTGGAGCCTGGGGAAGAAAGGGGGGGGACAGTGGAGCTGCAGTTAACTCTTTGGGGCGCAGGCAGTTCTTTGGCTTTGCTCTGCACCGGAGCCCGGTGGAAAGTGTTAATCACATAGCAGGGATCGCACTGAAAGCAAAAGCTAGAG